AGAGTTTTTTTTTTTTTTTTTTTTTTGTATTCATTTGTCAGCAGCATAGACATCCATATTTCATCAGTGTTATCTGATTTCATAAGTACTGAAAAACAGCATGTGGTTTATTTATGAGACCCCAGCTCAAACCAAGATATTCTATTCTGAATAAATAGCAGGACCCCACTGAAATCATGACCTCATGTCTGACCTGAGCTTTCTTGAATAAATAAATTTATATTCAAGGAATGTAGAAATTTTTTTCCCTTTTTGTGGGTGTGGACGGAGGGGTCTTGGAGGTTATAAAAGCCTGGAACTGGATGCTTTTCTCTGCTCCTAAGGAATCATTCTGGATTTAATAGATTTGATAAGATAGGGTGGATTTATTAACTCTCCTCTGAACACAATCTCCATTGAATATTGTGTTTAAGGTTAAGAGATGTGGGTAGCTAGGATGTAGGATTTTCAAAGTGTTTATATTGGCCACAGCAAACATTTTGCATTCCTTTTGATTTAACTGTGTACTTTAGTAACCACAGTATCTTTTTTGCAGATTATGTTTCCTGTAGCTTACTGCAGCATTGTATACTGGATGACTTCACAGCCCTCCGATGCGCTTCGATTTGTCCTCTTCTCAGCCCTGGGGACAATGACATCATTGGTGGCTCAGTCACTGGGTCTTCTAATTGGTGCAGCCTCCACATCACTTCAGGTACTGACGTTTTAAGTTTCATGATCTCATGAGAACCCTGCTCTCCTGGGCACTGGCAAGTAGCACCTTCTTGCCATGGATGCTGTTACAGGTTCCCTAGCCAATTTTGTTCCATTAATCTAAGAGAGACACGCTGGAAGAGAGACAGAAGAAAAGAGGAGCTAATTCTTTGTGTTGGCTCCTTGACAACATTGTATATTAAAGACATAGCTAAACAACCTGGCTTTCTTGTTTGTTTGTTTGGTTTTTTTATTAACATAAGCTCATTTTTTCTGAGCCTCAGCACTGAGTGAGGTGCTGTTCATCTTGCTCTTGTGAATGCGCATCATATGCCAGTCTCCTATACAAGGAACAGGACTAATGCCATTCTACAGTACAATGAGAGCTGGGATATGGGGACCTGCAGTTGTGCTCAGCAGTGGTTTTACCCATCCACAGCCACATAGAAGCTGGCAGCAAGCTAAACAGGGCCAGGCTCAGACCCATAAATCAGACCAGCTGCACTGGGGCTGAGGAGTGAAGCAGCCACTGGCTTGACTGCTATCTTAATGAAGCCCTAACTACAAAGTAGGCTTAAACCATATCCTGGAAAGAGGGGCTTCAACTGTGGCTCTGGGTTTGGCCCAAGACAGAAGAGTTGTCTGTAGGGAATATCTGCTGAATTCAAGACCCCCTTTTCTCAGTCGGTATTACAAAGGCAAAAGCAGGATGCACCTCACTTCCAGATGTAGCTTTTGGCTGTCTGTAAAGGCATCTCTGTTTCTCTTTTTTCCAGGTGGCAACATTTGTGGGTCCTGTCACAGCGATCCCTGTTCTTCTTTTCTCAGGATTCTTTGTCAGCTTTGATACCATCCCAGCCTACCTCCAATGGATGTCCTACATCTCATATGTCAGGTACAGGAAGGAAAGGCAGGGGCCTAGTGACTTAGGATTTTTTTTTGGATTCTAGTGCTCCATTACCCCATTTACAATGCACATTTTTAGCATGCACAGCAGTGCAGAACTAGGTACCCAAAAAGATATAGATATAAAAAGGATTTGAAAGAACAGAAATACCAAATTTATTTCACATTAGAAAGCAATATAACACCATAAAATAAATATGAAAAGTTTTGACCTACATAATATACAATGGGCAAGAATCTGAGCTAATTTATGCCCTGTTCAGTTGTTTTAAATGCAATAGGATTGCACAGTAGGCGAGTCTGCTTAAAATTTGGACTCGCTGCTTTGACAAATGTTAAGGACAAAATGTCCATAGCAGTACTCTAATGAGGTTGCCAGCACTTCACTTTGAAGGCTTTAGCATTAAACTCCATATTTCCAAATAGATTTACTGGGTAAAGTCATGTTTGTCAGTTTACCCAATACTGATAATACTGCAGATGTCAGATAGGTTTTCTCCAAAGTGAAAAGGTCAGGAGAGATGCATTGCAGAGGGAGCAAAGAGGGTTTAGGAAATGTGCACTTTAAACACATTTTGTATGTATCTTCCCTAGCTGCCAGGTCAGTTTGATGTGAAGAGAATAGGAGCGTTGTACCTGAACTGTTTTGGTTTTTGTCTCAGATTGTATCCTGATATCCTTTTAAAAAATATATTCTTTAATGGAGAGTTGACTTTGTGTTTCTTTTAATAATGATGCAATTCTACTGTGAATCACTATGTGAGTTGTCTGGATGTCACTGAGGATGTAATTTGTATCTGAGGATAATATTTAACTCTTCAGTGTTTCTATAATGGAACTTTTAAAAGGAAAAATGATTTATATATATATAGCTTTACCTTGTAATCCATCCTTTCCTTTTCAGGTATGGTTTTGAGGGAGTCATTCTTTCCATCTATGGTTTAGATCGGGAAGATCTTCACTGCGACAAAGATGATACTTGTCATTTTCAAAAATCAGAGGCCATCTTGAAAGAACTAGATGTAGAAAATGCCAAACTTTACTTGGACTTCATCGTACTTGGAATTTTCTTCTTTTCTCTGCGCCTAATTGCCTATTTTGTTCTCAGATACAAAATCAGAGCAGAGAGGTAAAGGAAGAAAACAAAACAGAACAGTCCAGTAGGAAGAACATTAGACTTGCAGTAGAGGGCACTTGTCATTGTCTCAATGTGGCAGGCCAGTGTTCAGTGCCCAGTTACAGACACTGTTATGACCTAGCCCATAAAGAACCATACGAGGCTAGTGGATATATAGTGTTAAGCTAATCAGTCCAGCTGGGTTGGGTCATGTTTTCATTACACTTTCTAGCTTTAACTAGGAAGAAGAAATAGAAGGGAATTTTGCAATGTAGACTATCAACTCTGAGGCAGTGTAACAATAACAATAACTGGTTACAAGAACTTTCCTTTAAGTAAACCTTCTTTGTGATAAGGTAATTTTAGTCCTGATAGCCAGAGTTGGTAAAATGACATCTTTACACAGCTGGGGAATATTAATTAACACTCAAATACAAAGTGGGGAATGCAAAGAGAGAAGGATTATGTCCTGTCCTTGAATTCAGAACTTCATCTTTGCAATTTTCTATCGATCACTTTTCTTTCCCACAAGAATTACCCCCGTAAGCCAAAATTCTGTAAATGTATTAGTTCACAAGAAAAGATATCTTTTTAATATGGATGGATAACAACATTTTTTTAAAAGATCATAGTAATAAGTCACTTTATTTTTTTTGTGTCTAAATTTAGAATTCTGGTGCTTTATTTGATGAGCTGGTCTCAGATTAAAAAATTATAATAGTAATGGAAAATGAGAAATTCCAACTCAGCACTGTAAACCTGTTAATCATATTTGTGGGGGGGAAATAGAGCAGAGTCAATCAGGAATGTTTAAAACTGTCCACAGATGATTAAACAATCAGCCTGTGTTTTCGAAGTCTTTTAAACTCACTTCATTTGTGATGTGGAAAATACTAATTCTGTTCATTATCACATGAACTACCTCCTGTGAATGCAAAAGCAAAAGTCTCCAAGGCTATTTTCACCAACAATGAGTGAAAGTAAAATCTATCCCCAGTGCTTGTGAGAATGCTCAAGGACAATGGAAAAGTCATCTTGAAAGTAAGAGCTATCATTTGTTCAGAGTTTGAAAGCTTAGCACATTATATTAGAACACATGTGACAGTTTGCATGGAATTGTTTAAAATTTCTGCATTCATCATAAAATGAATTTACATTTGAATAGGTGGAGGCAGTGTGATGTGATAAAAATAACACCGCCAACCAATTCTGTTTTTGTCCAAATCTACCTGGGGATTAATAGCTAAGTGGTCTAAAGAGTAGGGATTTTTTTTTTTATACATGTTATACATTAATTTTGTTCTCTTGCATGCTCATCATAAATTGTAAGGGTGAAATCCTGGTCATAGTGGAAATCAATAGGACTTTTGCCATTGATTGACTGAGACTAGGATTTCCCCTGAAAGAACAGACTGTGCTAGATCTGATTTCTTTCACGCTTGTAGGCAGCTGCATTAGCTCCACTGTCTCCCACAGCTGTGATCCAAGTGAGGAACCAAGTCTGGGGGTGTTTTACACAAGTAGATAACGTTTTACTGAGATCAAAGATGTTTCAGTGTCAGCAGGCCATTCAGGGACTCGGTGACCAAAGCTAGCGTAATAGTTGCTGAGAGGGGTTTTTTGTCTGTGAACCACCAAGAGCCACAGTTCATAGACTATTTTTGGAGGCTCGAAGAAAATGTATATGTACTAAACCCAAATTGCTTTGAGTTATGCCTGAATTTTTTATTAATTAATTTATTCTTTTTCTTAAGGCTGAAGTAGAGCCACCTTTTCTTTGGGAAACTAGCTGTACATTTCACAAAAGTCTGTGAAAACTTTGACCACCAGAATGAGTTATACCGAATCCCTCATCAGTCATTTCTATGCAAACAAATTGCTCCTCCTTTACAGAACCCCATTGGAGTCAATGGAGGTCTGAGAGGGCTCCACAACGTATGTGTACAGTCACTTGTGGGATTGGGGCCTGGATAGCTAACATATATAGGAAATTTGATGAATATTGAGTACTCAAAGAAGCACTCTTGCAAATAATTTGCAGACTGAAATTTACCCACAGAGGGCACAGTTCAAACCATTCAGAATTAGGAGCAATTGTTTAAATATTGCAGGCAATATTCATAAACAGACAACGGGCTAAATTTGGGAAATTATCCATTTGTTGCGAACTGTTCAACACTAGCCTGAGTAAAAGGGTGTGGCATCTGTGGCATTAAATAGGTTTGTAATCAGGGTAAAGATGGTGCTTCCATCAGCAGTTATTTACCAAATATATAAATGAAGCTAATTTATGATTTATCAGTTGTAAACTAGCATGAAAGGTAATGTTATGAACAATATTCCTTTGACATTTTAACAGTATTAATGTATTCTAATAAAAGTGTGTTCCATTTTGTCCTGGGCAGTCCAGTGTAGGAATGTGAGAGCTCTGCAGTGCTACCTGCTTATCTGTGCCTATACATATTTTTAGCCTCTTTATTTGTCACATCCTCATGTATTGTAACTTCATATTTTGTTATGTTAAAAAACGGTGTGTTCTTCATTAGTGTTCTGAAGGAAATACCTACTCCAAAACAAGGTTTTCATTCCTTTTTTTCATTAGGTTTTTTCATTCCTTTCCCCCCAACTGTCTGTTGGGAAACAGTTTGCTAAAAGCCATTACTTTAAAGAATCTTTTTCATACTATTGGATCCCAGTAAATAAATTGGTTCTACTAGCTAATGCTGTACTTAAGATGCTCATTTTCCCTTCATTTTACAAATGAAATCTCTCTCTTTCTTTTGAGCGTTCATTTTGGTTAAATTAAGCTTGTCCCAACTATATTTTCATATAGTGTGTCAGTTTGCAAAGTCTCTATATATGTATAACTTCATTTTTTTCTTCAGTATATAAATAAGCTCCAGCAGTTTCATACTCACAAAAATCTCTTGTTTAACAAATTGAGTATGCATATAAAAGATAATGCAGTAGCCAATGTTGTCAAACTCCCAGGCTTTCATTATAAATAATAATGAGGCAAATTGGAGTTTAAGCATGCTGGATCCTCAACTTCTGTATATTTATTATAAACCAACTGAAATCAATGAAAATGTGGCAAATGGCATCAGGTTAGGATTTCACCCCAAATAAAATGAGAGGCTGTCAATATTTGTTTTGAAATGTCTCTTGAAAAACTAATACATTATTCATGAATGGCAGATGGAAGATTTTACTGTTCTTTTAGGTTCTTTGTTTTATCTGGGCCACAACTGCACACATTTCTTGTGTGTCATTCTATTTCTGGGTCATGTATGTATCAATGGAAATATTAAATACTTCAAATATTTTCTTTTCATTGAAGTTTGACTGTAGACAAGGAAATCCTGAAAAGCTTTTGGATTTTTTTAAAAATAAGTTTCGGATCTACTGACATAAAAGAAAAAATGGAGACATTTCATCTTCGTAGAGAAGAGGAGGAGAGAAACAAACAAATATCTAACTGAGAATGTCTTCATCACTTTCTATATTGAATCCAAAGCTGATATTTTTCTAAAAATTGAGAGAGAAAACATAACATAAGGGATAGCAGGTTAGGAATAACCTGCATACAAGATAGCAAACACTTCTCTGAGGTATTGCCTGTGTGGAAGCATGGTGTATGGTTTTACTGTTTTGCACCAATGTCTGTGTGACTATGGAAATGAACATTTTATTGACCATCTTGTTTTCACTCAAAAGTTGTGATGGTAATAGGCTGACCCATTCTGTCTTGATGGTTCCCACAAAAAGCAAAATTGGCTCCTGTGCCTCCCCCTTGTTAAGTGAATCCCTTCTGTTATAATGAAGTTCTTGTGTAGACCTTATTCAGCAAAGTACTTACTTACCTGTATGCATTAGAGTTATCACTGGGACTACTCGTATCTTAAAAGTTACCCATAGTGTGAAACACTTGGCTGGGTCAGGGCCATAGTGCACAAGAAACTGGGACATGTCCTGACCTGGTTCAAAGGCTATAGTGAAAAATATGATTTGTTTTCTCCTGTTCTGGGCCACTGTATAAAACTAGAAATAATGTTTTCAAGTGTTTATTGGAATGCAAAATATTCTACTTTTCAGGGGGGGAAAAACAGAAACTAACCACATGAAAGAGTGTATATTTTTCTGTGTTCACTGTTAAACAGTTGTTTCTGTTAACTGCATAATTTTGCTAAGCAAAAATGGACTTTGTATTTATATTCTCCTTCTCTGTATAACAAGTACAAATCCAAAACTTCTGTAGGGGGTGTTTGGGGTTTTTTTCACAACTCTGTGGACAAGTGCTGGTTATATTTTAAAAGCATGTTTTTTTAGCTATTTTTCTACTAGCATGTGCTCTATAAGCCTTATGTTCTGGAACCCTAGCAAATTGCAGGAGGAACAGTTCAGTCACATTTAGCTTGGACTTCTTAACACAGGCCCACTGAAAATCCCTCCTCAAAAAAGGCAAATGCCCGTGTAGCCTAATGCACGTGCCTCTTTCTCAGCCCACTGAATTCTTTTCTCCAACATCTCCATTTGCTCACCTATCTGAAATTCCAGACACATTCAGGGTGTCTGCAGAGCAATGCTGTGCTATGAAGAGGTACTTGGTGTAGCTCATGTACTGGAAGCAGTACAGGCAAGTTAGTATGACTCTCCACCAAGAATAATTAGCCCTGGAAGCAGTATATATTAGCCTGGGTACAGTTATCCTAATGTGACTTCTGGTACCCTCAGGGTGTGTCTACATGAGACGCAGTAGACTGCAGACTTAACGTGCAGTAGACTGATTGACTGCGCATACACTGTCATGCAAAAACTATGCTATCACGAAAAAAGCTTGCAGTTGTACTAATGCACAGTTGGGCAGCCTATTGCACATTTAGTTAGTACTTCCTTTTGCAAGTACTAAATATAATAAATAGTAGGCACTGTGCAGTAATGAACATGTAGACATACGCTCAATGTCTAAGTGAGGGAGAAGATCTTGTACATCTTCACTGGGCTATGCAGGAGGCTGCTTCCAGCACTAGTTTTCTACAAGTGACTGGCTTGGTTGAAGTTGGACTTCTGATACTTGTGTGATGTCTGGTTTAAAGCATATTGGTATCAATGGAAACCATGACTCCCAGTGACTTGTGGACACTAAGTGATTCTCATCTAGATGTGCCCATAAGAATTACATTGTACATTTCTCATTAGTAGTATTTGCTATCCTGGTCTGGCTACTAGGACCCTGCTTTAGTCTATTCTTAAATTTATCTATACTCAGGGGAGTATTTTAATACATGCATAAGTTCACTGCCTTGAACAGGATTGAGACCCTGGTTTTCCTGAATGGAAACCTACATTTGGCTCAAACCACGTCTTAAGAGTTGTCATGAACATAGGAAAATGGGAGGCAGGTGATGGAAGCTGTCATGCAGTGGAGCGGAGGGCAGAAGCATTTTTTCAATGAAATGAGAAGGAGCCTAGAGACCCAGTCACAAAGTATCAATGCTGCTGTTTGTACCAGCAGTTAGAAACCACAATTCTAGCTAGAGGAAATGTTTTCTAAGCTGCTTTCAACCACTGTCTGTGCTGACTTTGCCAGTAAGATGTGAGTATCTTCAATTACAAATTTAGCAGCAGCAAGGTCACTTCCTGCAGTATGCCAATAGTTTAACTCCATTCTTGTTCAGGCCTTTGTTTGAAAACCCATTTGTGATTTTTTTTTTTTCCCCATCCCCCTTTGGCTCTGTTTATTTCTTGGTTAATGCTGGCAGCAACTAAACTGCTTTGGGGTTGCATTCTGAGGTTTTGCATGAGATATTAAATGTTTCATTTGCTGTATCAGTCAATCATAAGAATCAATCTTGCCATCAGTGCTCATGCTGTTTGGCATCCCACACAGCTGGGACTCAATTTATTTCCACTCATGTTGTTGGTCTGTTTTTTAATTTGGCATTCTCTTTTAGTGTCTTTACTAATAACCTTGGCACAAGCCCCAGAGACATTAAGCCCTTAGCATTTTATATTGACCTTTTGCATTGATAAATCCTGACTCAATGCTCCCTATACCCACTGGCAGCAGTGATTATAAAGATTGTAGATGAACTTTGGAGCCCTGCCAGATCAGCTGTTTGCTGAGCTCTGTGCATCAGCTCAGCTGGTGACTCTTACTTTTGTTTACCACTTCTTCACATAAAACTATATTGCTGAATACCTATGAAAGTTTCTGTGGATGAGGGCAGGACTTATCAAAAAAAAATTGCAATTCAAACTAGTCATGAGGTCTCAAAAGTACTTGAATACAAACTGATGGGATGTCCAGTATGTAGCATCATTTTGCCAATGAAGCCCTACCAATAAAAGCAGCAGCATATGAAAAGGTGGGCGAGATTTCAGGAGGCCCATAAACTCTGTATGCAGCAGAGGCTTGATCAAAGCCTCTTGAAACCAGTGGAACGTTTACATGGTTTAGTTCCCCCCTACCATTTCCCAGGGGTATTAGAGCTTCCATACAGCCATCTGTTGTCTATTTTTGTAATTTTGTCTATTTTTGTCTATTTTTATGATCACACTTGACAAACTGTATAGTTGCCACTTTTGAGTCCAGTCCTGTTCTCAGTGGAGTTAGTGGCAAAACTTTCAGTGCAACGTTAGAGCAACAGTTAGCCAGAATGATTTCTGTTGTCATAGCACATAGACCATACAAATAAAAAAAAATGTGTAAAAGTGTGCATTGGATATGAAACTTTGCAAACCCAAGGAAAGTCAGTGCTAAGGCTGACATTCTTAAACAGGCCCGTAGGAGTGGTGATTGCATCCTGTTTGACTGAATATGTAAAATAACTCTTCTTTATTTACCCCCTTCCCCACCAATGTAGGTGTGCAAAAGATCCGAACTTCTGCCTTAAATCTGCCTTACTATTCTTGCTACTTTTGTAACTACATGGTGGCACAGGTTTTTGTGGCTGTCAATTACTGTTTCTTGCCCAGTGGAAGTTATTCAGCAGCAGGAGGGACACATGCAGTCAGTAGTTAATTTTGGACTAGGGACGGATCTTCCTTGTTCTTGATACAAAATGGGAATTAAATGTATTACTTTTGATAAATGTTATGTGAAATCTAAACATATTTAATGATTAAGGTTAATGGCACTGGCTGCTTCTGACTTCTAAAAGTAACTGTAGTTGCTAATTATGGAATTACTGTGACCAGTAATTGCAGAAATATTATGAACTATCCATTGCCTTTTTTCTGTGATGAGACCTTGTGAGGATATTACTGTACACACCCATGTAAATATATGGACCTACCAACAGGAATTCCTTTTCAATTGCGCAGTCATTATGCTGACACAGTTGCCCATTGTGAAGTCCCATTCATAAAGCTTGATAATATCGAGGACAAAAACCCCTGGCAACTAATTAGTAGGAAGACGGGGATGGCCCAGCATGTCATCTCTGTTGCTTTGCTCTTAGGATTGCTGGTTTTGCAGTTGGCACTGTTGGTATTGCCATGCCCACAGAATAGGCTTTACTAATTTTGTTGTATGGCCATCAGCCAATTTTGTGTTGCTAAAATTAAGTGGTTCATTGGCTTGGGGTGAGACTATTCGGTATCTTTCATGATCAAAACCACACTGTCCTGCCCATAAATCCATTTTTGTATGTAGAATTCACATTCATACAAATCAGTTTAAATATTGTGTATTTATGTCACATTGTACTTTTTTCCTGTTCAGAAGTCACAGTTTGTACCATCAGCCATAACAACTTTGTTTTAATTTTATGCATCCAGTGGCATATTTTTTACTTCTATTTATATGCATCCTAATAATAGTATTTAAGAACATGAGCTCTAACTTCGGCTTTTGATGTCAATACCATTTAGTGTATAGCCTTTAACATAGTTCTCATTTATGGGATCTTTCTGTAGTAGATCTTTAGTTTCTTTCAAGAGACAGTCATACTTTGTTTTAGAAGTGTGAAAAACAGCTGGGAATAATCCTTTGGGATGATATTCATGGTGGTACAGAGTCCATACTAATCCTGTGTACCATTTAAGTCTTTAAAATAGGGCTTAACTGGGATTTAATTGGTCTATGGGCCTCATGATACTGAACTGAATGTCACCCTTTGATTTCAACTTACCTAATGTCACTGTGTGTTGTGTTACACTCTAGAACAGTGGGGGCCAAACTTTTTGGCAGGTATACCACAAATTAGCCTTGAACCCTCCCTGAGTGCCACTCTGGTCACCTTTCCCCCTTTCCCTGCCCAATCTATTGCTCTGCTTTCTGCTCCCTGCCCTTTTGCTGCTGTGCTTTCTGCCCCTTCTTTGATCTGCCACATGCCATACACAGGCTTCCCAGGCCACCTGTGGCACTTTGTGCCTCAGGTTTGACACCTCTGCTCTAGAAGTGACATTAATGACGCCTTTGATGCCAGTGCTAAATAGTTGAATATATTAGTTGCCTTTGTAAAATTAATTGAATAAGTACTTCTGGATCTAATGTTGTCCCCTTCTCCCATGCCCAAAACTAACCCATATTATAAAGATATTGCAGAGGTGACACAAAATCTTTGGGCTAGCTCCTATTCTGCCTATTAAGATACCCAAGTGGGCTTAGGTGCCTAAATGTATCCCTATTTTATCCTGCTTGAGTTCACAAAAAATCATTAACTCATCTACTTTTGTAATATGCCATCATCTTAGGCTTAAGACTAACTCAAAAATGCAGTGAGGAGGAGGATTCATCCACCTTTCGCATGAACAGGTTTTCAGGGACTTTAGCATGGCAGACCAAGACTGTGCTGAAGCGTCTAACTCCACTTTAGCACACAATAGGGAGAATAGTAACTACTCCTTTGTTTCTCAAGGTTTTTTTTTTTTTATGAGGAGACTATCTCATTAGTACATATTCTGGACCATATTAAAACTAAATATTGTAATGGCTCCTTTCTGTTACTACAGAAAACCAGGCTGCTTGGGTTTAATTGTAGCTGAACTTTACAAATGTTGATCTTCACAACTTACAAATGTGAATGGTTTGGAAAAAATGCAATTAAAAAATTCCGACAGGAAAAAATGCTCATTAAATATGCTATAAAAGCTAGTACATTGCATTTGTAGTGTTCTTCTCTGACAGGGAAGGAAAATGATAATTTTTAGGTATGTTTAAAGAAAAACAGAAATAGTCCTACAATGTAGTCAGGATATGTTTTAGATTTGTGCAATACCTGATCTCAGTTGGTTGAGCTTGTGGTGAGATATTGCCCTGGAATCTACTGTTGAGGCATTTAACATGTTTATTTTTTTAAACAAAAAGCAAGAGTCAATGCAAGTAAAATTTTTAATCAGCGTGCTACAGTGTGCATATTATGTATTTCTGATATAACTGTTGTCTCTTGTTTCTGTAATGCAAGGTGCATTACTATGAATCAATTTTATTATGCTTCTTTAGGAGACTATTGCTGCCTGCACGCTGTGGTATATTTGCACTGTTATAGATACATACATATATATTAGGTAATATATAGGTATATATATTATCTAAACCTTGTCTTTTTCAGGTTGCTCATTATCTTTGTAGTTCATACTTACTGGAATAATGAACCTGAGTAAAAACTTTGGGATGTGGGGCATTCTGATGATGTATTCAAAACAGAGAAATCTTTGTATATTTCTGTATAGTTAATACCTGTAGAAGATTTGTATGTGCATCATTTTCCAAATTAGGGCTTTGTTTTCTGAGAATAGAGGACATTTATGATGACGTAATAAACAAAATCAAATAAAGTGTTATTTTCAGACAACAGCCTTAGTTTCTGTTCAATTTCAAAGGAGAGTTGCAAAAAAGCACTGGTGAATAACAGAACATTTCCAAGAGAGTTCATAGACATATAGACCAGACAGGTGTAGTTCTGACACAGGGTAAAAGGCAGTGCATTGCCCTTTGTTTGGTTTAACATATCTTTTAGTTTGGTTATAGGTATCTTGTAAGGGGTGGGCAAAATATGGTCTGCAGGCTGGATCTGGCCTGCCAGGTCATTCTATCTGGCCCTCAGGGCCCCTCCAAATATCAATTATTACTGGCCTGTGGCCACCCCTCTGAAAGCCAGTGGAAGGCATGAGCTTTTAGAGGTCATGTGTCATCAGATTGGGTGGGCTCTGTGCCTCCACCTCCATGGAGCTTCCGGCACTCCAGCTAGGAGCCCCAGGTGGAGGCACAAAGCACGATGATGCATGACGAGACAGCTGGTGAGTGGGGAGGGGAGCTCCCACTTGCAGTGCCAGGAGCCCCATGTGCAGGCATGGAGCCAGCCTAGCCAGGCCTAGCAGCACACTCCTGGCTGGAATGCCGGGATCCCCACATGCTGGCACAGATCCAGTGTGGCAGACCTGAAGGCTCACACCAGTGGGCTGGGCCAGGCCAGGCCAGGCCAGCTCTGTGCCACCAGGTGTAGCTCCCAGTACTCAGCTGGAGCTGCACACTGCTGGGGGGCTCTGCCTGCCATGGGCCATGAGTGCCCCAAGGCTGCCTGCTGCTGCTGGTGGTGGCAGGATGTGTGCATCATGGTAGGGGGAGGTATGTAGTGGAGGGGCCCCACACCCCTTCACAAACCCCACACCCATCCACACGCAAACCACACTCCCTATGGCCCTTCAACCCCCCCACATACACACCCACAAATCCCACCCCCCAAGCATACCCCACACACCCCTTCACACAAAAGACTTTATTTTGAGCTATTAGTCACCTCTGTATACACTATGCAAACACACATAAATCAGGACAAAAATAGTTTTTTGAAATAAAATTAAAATGTTACAGCAGATGTTTTATTTTTACTGTATGATTTGTTTTTTTCCAGTTCTAAGATGGCAACCCCCCCCCCCTCCAAAAAGGAATATTTTGGGGAGCAAGGACAGGGACTCTTCTCCTTGTTTTTTCTTCTCCTTTCCTCATTTAGAAAATATCTGTAACCCATCTCATGAAACATATGCATTACATTTTTTTTCCTTATGATCAGTTTAGCACAGGATTAATCTTCTCATTAGGTGGACTTCTCCAGGTAATATATGAAGGAGAAAGCAGAACAGCAGTACAGAGATGAAAAACCCCTCAAAAGTACAAGGTAAGGAAAGGATGGGGGGGTTGCCAGGGTGTGGTATGGAAGGGATCCCAGGTTGGCATTAAGGGAAGCTCTGGCAAGTAACTCCTGTCTGGGAGGAATAAAGCCAGAGAAGGACAGGCTGCTGAGCACCTTGTGTGTGTTTACCTATGTCATTGTGCCTACATTCTGCCCTTTTTAATATGAGAGGAGCTAAACTGATTCATGCACGTTCTGTGATTTCAGCACTTAAAAAGTTCTGCTTTACAAGTCTTACTGCATCTCAGCCTATCCCTGTTGAAGATGAAAGAGATGGTCTTGTGGGCCTGGCACTGGAATTCTTACATCTTCCAGAATCTTTTTGTATGATCTTGGGCAAGTTGCTGAGGGTATGTCTATTAGGGCGGTGCAAAGCTTCGGTCCTTGATTTGATTCGGTGGCCAAATCTCCAAATCCAAATCAAATTGGCGGACCCTTTAATCTCTTTGAATTGAATTGGAACCCTCCAAATTGATTCGGAGAGATTCAGAGATTTGGACACAGAGACAGCTTTAAATGTTTTTTCTACATACCTGTAGGTAGCAGGCAGCTTGTAAATGCTGCAATGGTGGGGCTCATGGAGTGTCCCA